TCCTTTCCTGTTGTGGAAACTCCCTGTAAATTGGCTCCTCGGATTTAAAGGGGTCTAAAAGCGTGCAAGCTGGAACTGTCTAATCTCTGGCCGCGGATTTACCAAGAAATGTCATCTTTGGCTCCTTGCTGGCAGTTTCAAGAAGTCGCCCGCGTCTCTTTTGTGCACTGTTCCTTTGTCGAAGTCCATTGAAATCGTGTCACAGGTCGCCCAGGCAAAGAAAGCGGCCATTCAGTCGCGACACGTGCGTCGTCCATTCGCCATTCGTGTTTTGTGGTAGACGCGACCAGTTCTGGGACCAGTTTTTCCGTCCCGTTGACGACTGGACTTTCGAGACGCAACCGAGGACTTTTCTTTCCCGTTTCTTTGCCTCGGAAGTGTTACGTGATTTTACAAAAGCTTCCCAGGTGGCGATCCAGCCGGTTCAATCGCGCGATATCGAGCGAGATAAACAGATTATTGCACTCTAAACGGCGTGTGTTTTCGATTAGGTCGCGAAGCCAGTGGTTCTCCTACAAGAAATTTTCTCCTGCGAACAATTTTTAAATGTTTGCAAAAACGAGGGTGACGGAAATTAATTTTGCAGTTGCACGAAACGCAAAATTTTGCAAAGTAAAAGTTCGAAACAGTTTAATTGAATCATCATCGGACGCGATAAATTAAAATAAATTACTGACTCGCGGTTTACGGCGGTCTTCCCCGCCATTTTTAGCGTCTCATATTTCGAGAACATTCTGACGACTCGTTTCCAAAGGTTGTTTTACGATGTCGCAACTTTACAACGCCGTAAAAATTCAGGATTCGCATGCTGGCAGTGAAACTTTACGATCGCGACGATGGAGTAATCAGGATCGAAGAAACTGCAAAAAGAAGGTCATTAAGGGATTCCTCGTGTCTCGGATGAAAATCATAAATTCTTCTTTTACTTCGTAAAGTTTATACGTTCGGAAACACAGTAAGTTAAGATAACTAAACTTTCGATGTGTTTCCTTCAGATTGATATTTCTTAAAAAATTAACTCGTCTAGTGAAAAGATAAATAAACTGAGTTTTACAGATTTTCCTAAAAAATGAGACTCTGGTCATAAATTAACTTCGAACGTTATCAACAAACTGTCGCTTGCGGGAGCACGTAATAAAAGTCGAAGAAAAGAGATTTAGTTGATCGTAAAACGCGTCGTGGTCCTCGTTGATTCCATATACAGAGCGATTCAACTTATTTCGCATTTTTAAGTTGGAATTAAATATCGTTTGATAGTGGCGTTAAATCTCGTATCTACGAAATTAAATCAGACTGAAATATTTCATCAACGCGATATAATCAAAGCATAGGTATTGCTATCGTAATATATCGATCCAGTGATCGCTAATTTAATTTGTCATTAAGCTCGTATTAATTCCCATCGTCAGGTTCAATTACAACGATCGCAATAAAAGCAACGTTTCTTGCGCAACGCCGAAAAGCTTTATTATTAAATTAAACCCGAGCCGCTCGGGTTTACAAAAATTGCGTAATTAATGTCGGGTATCGTCCACGTGATCGATCGCCTCGGCCATTAGTCGACTTTGTTTCAGGCTGCAATCCGACGAGCGTCGGATGACATTGATATATTATGGCCACCCAGTGTACACGGACACCTGTTACGTATTTTGACTCCGCCACGGTCTGTCAATATTGTATTACATATTTTGACAGCGGGGACTGGCTCCGATTTCCTCCTATCGATGGCCCTTTTGAGATCCAGTATCGTCCTGTAATTATGCCTCATTTTGGGGTGGTTTTTCCCTCGTTTTGGTTGCACTGGTATACTTTGTGAAATGGAGATTTTTTCTAGAGTCTAAACAGAAACAAAAGTAGGCCAAATTTTTTTATTCAACATCTTTTATTCCTTACTAGAAATTTTTATCTAGATAACAGTTATCCTCATTGTTTACTTTTCAAAAGTGGTATTTATTTTTCTACGTGTCGAGTTAAAAAATATTTTAGCGAACAGGAAATGTGGCATTTTCGTGACAAACAATTTTTATTCAACAGTATGCAAGCTTCGATACCATTATTCGTTATTTATCACTGTAACATAATTATAATATTTTTGGTACCTCATTTCTTACTGTTCTCGTTTTTCTTCGCCCCAAGAAATGCAACATGGGGGGCCCTAGGTCCCCGGATTGAGAATCCCTGATTGAACCAATCACAGGACCCACCTCGAAATCTATAAACGCAAATACGATTAAACAGCCGGGGAAACCCCAACGAGCGGATCGTTAGCGGTACGAAACGCACGAAATCTCATTGTCCCGGTCCGGGTCAAAAGTTCTAGGAGGAGGGGGGGAGAAGAAAGGCCCAAGTAACTCGAGACTCTTGTGCGGGGAGAAGCGTTTAAACCGCTGACCGTAAACAGAGAGGCCCCGGAGAGAAAGGTCCGGGCCCCGTTGGGACCCTCGCAAGGGCGTTAATTACAGGGCTGCTTTCGTTCTTCCTCCTCCTTCTTCCGTTTCCGGAAACTCGACTGGTGGGAGAGAGAAAGAGAGAAGAGAGGAGTGGAGGTTTCGAGCGTGGCACTCGTTCGAAGTCGCTCGTGTCGAGTAGTTGGTTCGGATTAAATGGAAAGAATCGCGCCCAAGGCACATACGTCTCGAGAATGGCTTTTAAATTGATCGTAGCTCGCTTTGAAACACTTAGAACCTGACACTTATTGTTTCAACGTCCATTTCGAAATTAAACCTCCTCTTCGACGCGTTTCACCCCTTCGTATCACGATTTGCTGTGTTTGAAAATTTTATGTTATACTTGGGAGATATTTTATGGTCAGATAAATTTTTACAGGGTCCACATACCTTTGGTTTGAGTTTACATACCTGTATACAAAGTATTTGAATGTATCATTGATTTTGAAAAACTCAAAAAATCGAGGTGTCCTATCATTTTGTCGCGGATTGTATATTCTGTGATAATTATATTTTAATTTCAATTTTATTTAGAGAAAATGAAAAAGAAATATGTACTGAAGGTAGTATATCTGATGATGAATCATGGAACAAAATTCTTAAAAATGTACCATTTGATATTGATTTAAAGAATACTTGTTAAATAAAGATCTTAGAGTGATAGGGATAAACCACAAACAATAAGAAATATAGCAAATATTTTTCTGCAATCTTGGATAAATATTTTCGAAAATCAAAATGTGTAATATTGCTTGTTTTCTGTGATGCTGGAAAATTTAATTCTCGAGATTAGATGTTAAAAGAAATACATTTAGGCTCTCGAATTTTAATGTAAAAATAAGTATTATGAAAAATTTTGGAGGATTGGTCTGAGGCAGAGTCAACATGTTAAAAATGAAAATAAATCCAGACTTTTGAATTTTAATGTAAAAATAAGCTCCATGATAAATTGTTGGTATTCCTAATTTCCCAATTGTCCAAAAACAAAGATTGGTTTCCTTCTGTGAAAAAAGAAAAATTTTTAATTTCGACTTCGTCAAGCACGAATTAATTTATTATTTCCCACGAGTACGAATCTCAGTAAACAAGATGGTTATCGATCGACACACACCTGCGAACGATCTAGTCAACGAGGAAGTTGCCCGACAGGATCTCGGCCGCCATTATTCCGGGAAGAGGAAAGCGAACGGTCAGATCTGTACCCGCGATTAAAAAGGACTTCCGTTTTCGCGTGGTTCGAACTCGGTCGCAGCGTAGCTCGGGCAACGCTGGAACCTTCTGATTTCAATAACGACGACGAGGCGCCATTGTGCGACGACGTAGGCCCATTCAGGCCCCCCATAATGCGTTCCAGCGAAAATGGGATGGAAACGTTCACAATAAAGCGGGGAGAGCGCGCGCAGGTAGCGCGACGGTCAGTTTCATTTTACCCCGGTTTGTCCGTGAACAGAGGAAGCAATTGTTACGACGAGTGCTCGTAACCCGATACCCGCTGTTACGCGTTCCTGGTGCTTAACAATGATTTGTGATTAAAAAGCAGCAGGTAGAAATCGAAGAAAACGTCCATCTACTTTGCTAATTTACTTTTTGTTCATAAACAATAGAGACGTCATACTTGTGCAATTTAATAATATTTCACGGCTTGCATTTAACGTGAAAATTGATGAAAAATATTGGGAATTATTTTAAACAGCTGAAATATATATCATTGATTGACTTTATTAATTATAAAATCAGAGTTGAGTCAGAGGCTTAGTTACATTATTGATATGGTTCTTAAAGTTCTGTAATGAAATGGAAAGCCAAAAATAAAAGAAACTTAGAAATTAAGATTACTTAGAAACTTAAAATTCATGCAAAATATTGGGAATTATTTTAAACAGCTGAAATGTGTATCGATAATTATTTTTATCAATTATAAAATCAGTCAGAGTTGAGTCAGAGGCTTAGTTACATTATTGATATGGTTCTTAAAGTTGTGTAATGAAATGGAAAGCCAAAAATAAAAGAAACTTAGATATTAAAATTACTTAGAAACTTAAAATTGATGCAAAATATTGGGAATTATTTTAAACAGCTGAAATGTGTATCGATAATTATTTTTATCAATTATAAAATCAGTCAGAGTTGAGTCAGAGGCTTAGTTACATTATTGATATCATTCTTAAAATTCTCTGATAAAATGAAAACCCTAAAAAAAAGAAACTTAGAAAGTGGATCTAAGAACTATAATAACAAATGTACAGTCACGAAAAATTAACAAAATAATCCTAAAGTAAATCTTCCATTCCCACTTTAAAAACTAACGATGAGAATATTCGTATAAAAATATAAATTTTTTAATAACTATTATTTTGGGAGGGGGTGAAGAATAAAGAACGATATCGAATGAGAGTGTCGGTTTACCTGTTCAGCGACGAAATTGCCTGACCGTGCTCGAAACGAAATACAATAATTAGCGTTACCCTTTGCTTTCCCCCTCCATTCACGGCCGGAAACGCCCACTCGTCGAATTACTCGGTGCTAAATTGCAAACGTTTTTATATGTTTCAGATACGTCCTACGAGAAGGCCTGTCGGAGGGGTAGCGCGCCTGCCACCCCTGTCCTCGGAGCACGACCCTTGGACGTCACCCCCAACAGAATCGTCGTAAGTAGATTTCGTTTTGTTCCCGTCGAGGCCCTGTAATTTTCATTCACTGTAATTTTCGACCGTTTGATAACCCGGTGCACGACTGCGTTTTGTCCGGGCGAATTCGTCCCGCGGAACGAGGTCGTTGATTTCGATCGGTTCCTTTTTTCAGACACAGTTTTAACTGGCGACGCTTAACCCTTCTGTCATTGTTCGTATTAACCCATGCTGGGCTCTGTACTGTACACATAAACGTTATAAAAGCGACACGACTATACAAATTTCATTTTTTAGTTACAACAAAAAAATAAAAAAGATAGGATATAGAAGACAATTTTTTTTTTATAAATACGCTAAGAAAATTAAGCTGAAATCTGGGACAGTCTTGTATATTATAAAAAAATTCTATCGATCAGGAATTACTGAAATAAAAATAGCAAATAAGTAAATGAAATCTGGGACAGCGCTGTATATTATAAAAAAATTCTATCGATCAGTAATTATTGAAAATTGCAAATAAATGAAGATTAAATTTTAAATCCAAGTAAATTAACAATAATATACTAATATTGTTCCGATTAATGTTACGGACTGTTTTTGGCCTTCATCGCGCTTAGATCGCGAGAGCAGACGATCGGTTTGCGCGGCGATTTTACGCAACAGGCGACGATTATTATTCTTCGTTGACGTCTTCATTCGTACGCGGCGCGAATCGCGAGGAATGTCGGTGAGGAGGCGTAAAAAGCGTTAATTGGCGAAATATCTGGGAGTAATTATTTTATCGCGGCGCCCCGAGCTCGCAATTAACGTTAGGCGTCTACCCGTTTGGGCGCTGAAGAAGATCTCCCGGTATGCTGTCCCGTCGTAGATCCTTATCGCGAGAAATACTTTGGGCGAATCTGTCAGCGCTGCGCCAAAGTGCATTAGACTTGCAGATTAGATCTGACTCTGGGAGTCGAGCCGACGATAAAGGAGTCCCCTCGATGGAATTTATCGTTCCTTCGATGCACGAACCGACTTCCGTTTTCTGAATTTGTAATCGTCCGTGTGCACGGGTTGTCTCGTTCCATCTTGTAAACGCGTGACGATCGAACGAGGGTTTCGGGCAGAATTTTGTGGACGAAAGTGAGAAAGTGGAAGTGAAAGAGGCTTCAAAATTATCTTGCAGAGTTTTAATCGTGTTTAAAAATATTTACAATATTTAGGTACCATATTTGAGAACAGATTGGGAAATTTGATAAAAATTTAACCATGTTAGGTTTATTTATAATATGTGTATTAATTAAAATAGAAAAAGGTTTATTAATATTAATGTAAAATTTAATCGTTTTAAAAATCCTTTTCCTTAACACTTTGAACTGTTTTCGTCAGCCATATTGGAGTGACTGAATTTTCCATTATAAAACTAGAAAAATTAATTCTCAAGTTGAAATAAATTTGGATAAGATTTATGAATTTTAGCAACGTTACAATAATAAGTACTAAAATAAATTTTATGTTATGTAATTTACAATCTAAAATTAATTTTTTAGTAAAAAATTCGGTAAACTAGAAATTAGAATTTCAGTCTTCCAGAGTACGATCCAGGTTTCGATCTGACAGTAAATATGTTAAACAGAGGGTTGTCAAATGTTAAAAATTTTCTTTTCTCTATTAATTTTCACGATCTGCACCCGCGTCACGTATGCCCGGAGATCTTTAGAATGTCGAAAGATAAATCGTCGTAGACGATTCTTTTGTAGCAGCTTACATCCACTGCTTCCGGTTGAAATCCCGGGCTCCCCGGTAACTCCTATCCCGCGTGCTTCCCTTCGTAGGGAGCATTTCGCTTTCGAGACACGGAAAACGGGACCTCGGTTTTCCGATCACGTAACTTCGATCTCTCGAGCCTCTCGTTGTATCGGGCCGTCGCCGATGCACGGTGCGCCTCTCTTTTTATTCAGACAAACAACGAGTACTTTACACGTCACGTCCATTGTGCTTTCCTTCGACGAATTCGAACGCCTCGATATTTTTCACGCTCGGTTTCATCACGACCATTTCGTGCGCCGCTCTGTCTTAAACGATCCTTGCTTTACGTCTCGAATCTTTCGAACTCAATTTTTAATATTATTCTGTGTTCAATGTTTTTAAACAAAATTTACTGGTCATTAAATTTGGTATAAAAAGAGTCCAGGATATCGGGGTCGATTAAATCTATTTAATTTTCATACGTGACTATATTTCAAATCTTGAATAATCGTCTCGAATTTTTGGAGCTCAATTTTTAGAATTATTCTGTATTCTATGTTTTTTAAACAAAATTGACTGGTTAGTAAATTTAGCATGAATCTTTTTAATTTCATATACGATTCTATTCCAAATCTTAAATAACTGCTTTTTGTCTCGAATTATTGAAGCTCAATTTTTAGAATTATTCTGTATTCTATGTGTTTTAAAAAAATTGACTGGTTAGTTAATTTAGCATGAATCTATTTAATTTCATATACGTCTCTATTCCAAATCTTAAATAACTGCTTTTCGTCTAGAATTTTTGAACCCAGTTTTTAATATTATTCCTTAGTCTATGTTTTAAGAAAAAAAATGTACTTTTCAGTAAACTGGGTGTTAAAATAATCCCCGATACGAGGGTCGACGAGCACGAATTTAGATTTCGAAAAAGGTCAAGGCCCCAAAGGGGACGTCGTAAAAGGGCAACTGTTGCATCGGGCTAGCAAATCTAATCAATGCAAGGAGATCGATCGCGTCATCGATGGGTCGAATTATAGCTCCGTGGATGCTGTAACATTTGTACGACACACCTCGCCGCAATTTCTTCCCTCGTTTCATCGGCGACTCTTCTTACGGAGCCTCAACTTTGCCCTTCGTTTCAATTTCGTTGCGTAAACGCGACACCTTTCTCCCCCCTCTCCTGCTGCATGCAAGAACGGATGGACGACGCAGCGTGGAAAATATCGACCCGGTGTCTTTTCCCTCCGCTGCAGGTGTTCTCAAATCTCACGTGTGTGATTTTCAGACCGCAAAAGACACGTTTTGTTTCTCAATTTTTTCGACGATACGTATTTCTCGCCATTTTGTATCATTCACTTGGCATTCGACATTGTTTCTCAATGTTATTTGACGAGTGGACGATATCGTGTTTCAAAATAATCGTCAACACTTTGACGGCCGATGTCACGTATACGTGAGTTCACTGGCCAACCATTATCGGCCGCTCTCACGAGTACGTGATATTATTTATCATACCACGAGGATCTTAAACATGATCGGAACATTACATATGTATAGTTCCACGATTCCACACACACACATATATAGTTTTTAATTACTTGAATGTCACTGATGAAAATTTGAATTATTTATTTTCATAATATTTAACTTATTGAGGCGTCGAAGAATTTCGTGTATAAATAACGAATGTTCCATTTGGAATCGTCCAAATTTATTTAGTTCAACGTTGGGGTAAAAAGTCGAGAAATCGTTTCCAGCTGTTCACCCTGTATGTTTCGATTTCGCTGGCGTATCACGTTGATCGATAAAAGCAACCCAGTGAAACTACAAGTTTCTTCAACAGTTCCCCTAGTACCGTTGTGAATCGTAAATGCCTCCACGTGACGCAATTCACCGCTATCTCTCTATTACAACATTCTATATTATTTATTTCGTAGCGAGCGAAAACGATAATGTTTATCGGGCGTGTTCGATTATTACGAAATCGACAGGAGGTAGGAAGTCTGAAACAAGCGTAGGTGAAATCTTGCCCAATAATATAATTAAATTCTTTATATTATTCATCGAATCCATTCGACTTTTCTTTGTAACATTCTTCTTTTATAATCGTGAAAATTTGAACAAAATTGCGACAATTAAAAGGTGAATATAAATTTGTTCCTCGCTGCTCGATTACTCGGAATATTTAATGCGTTTCGACGTTTTTTTCATTCTTAAGTACTCGTTGATTCGATCCCGCTACACGGTACTCCATAAAATTCAATTGAACGCGAGATTCCGGTAAGCTCGTTACACGATACTTAATGCAAAACGCGGCGTACGTTGAATCGCGCTGAAATGCGTCGTACGTTAATCCGCGAATTGCACAGATTCTCCAAAACGATCGAAGAAACGGAAAAATTCGGTCGAATATTCCCTCGATCGAAGAATGCCAATTAGGTTTAAGGAACTGCAACGAAACGACCCTCTTTTCGTTCCACATTATTCCCTCTGTGAGGGCAACAAGGTTGCTTTCCAACACGCGAAGAAAATAATTATTATTTTAAAAATATTTATGTTGCACAAATGTGGTTTCATTATTGGAGGAGATGGAGAACAAGTTTTTTATTGTTTAAAGTAATGTTTAAAATCTGTAGAAAAACCAACAAATTTCAACTAGTAAATTGAGACGAGAGAATATAGAAGTGTATAAATAAAATGTAGAAAATATTTATTAAATATTAATTTGAAATCCAATTAGACACATTCGAAAACCGATCAGAAATTTATTGGACTCTTCAAGAAAGTAAATATATAAGTAGTAATGAAAGAAAAATTCGAATTGTTTATGGGTGCGTCGCGTAGTTGACAAAAGAGGATACTCTCTGGAAACGCTACAAAAATAATAGCACTCCGGATCCCAGAGATACACTCGGTTTCAGTAATACATTTTCGATGGAATTGCCTCGTCTCCGTAAGTTATTAACGCGCCGGGCAATTAAAAAGTTCTTAATTACGACTGGTTACCGGGTACGATAATAAACGAGGAAAAGGGAGATATTTTCGCGGACGTTTTACGACGCGGTAGCGCCTCGGCGAATAATGTATCAAAGATTTAACGTCGGCCGTCGAACGGGTCGAGAAACCCTGGCCGTGGCCACAGGTAGCCAAACGATACAATTTTTCTGACAAAATTCCCCACGGAAAAAAACGAATTCTAATTGCCAAAACTCGGGGGGAAAAAGATCGAAGCAAACACCTCGTTTCGATCTTTTAAAAACTGTAGCATTTACGCGTTACTGTTAAAT